TATACTTTTGTGAATTCATTCGGACCAGCCTTGAGCTTCGATAGGAGGATACATATTTTTATCTACTCGTATTTAAAATAGATATTCATATTGTGTTCGCTGTGCCACAATGGAATGATTTGGCATTTAAAAAATCACACTTTTGCTCGAGGTCAATCAAATGCTGCAGCTGTTGGTGCAACTTCGAGCAACATTTGAAGAAAGGCATTTATTCCTTCTGTGAACAGGATAAACGATGCGACTTTTCTTACTTTGCATTAATATTTTTATCAATGATGATTTTTGAATGATCGTAATTACCCATAAATTTGGGCACATATCCGTATTTCACAAACGGGAGGTAGACGAGCATGCCTGCTAATATGAACCCAGCTGCATACAAGTATTCAATTTGAGGTTTATCGATGATTGGCGCTACAATCAGGTACGCGGAGATTCCAAGTACGAGAACAGGTATTATCAGCGGACATTTATATGGTCGAGGATGATTCGGTCTGGTTCTTCGCATTACTAACAAAGCTAACATTGCTCCGCCATAAAAGATCCAAGCAGTGAAGGAAAAAAAATCGATTAAAGAATCGATATTTCCGGATAGTACCATTGCTCCTAAATAATGGTAAAATATTTCATTGAATATTTAGTAGGATATGTAATCTATCAATCAGAATGTAATCGAGAATAAGGTTGATATGAATAATACCTGCGACAAGGGAATGGAAGATAAGTCCTGGTGCAGGAGTAAAACGTCGCACGTGTACATAACTAAGACAGTCGAGTAAATGACCCTCTCGAGACGCGGCAAAGCAGAGTCTACCTGCTGCAAAAAGAGTACCATTTGCAGAACCAAACGTGCTTATCGCGACAGAAAGGGGCATGAGCCACGCCATAACGCCAAGAATTCGATTTCCGAACGTCTGCAAAACAAATCAGTTTTTGAATATGAATTTTTAATTCAATTTTTATTTGAATTTCTGTCTTTTGAATTTTTGACTTTTGGAGTAAAGAATAACAAAAATTCTCTTACCACTGCAACAGCTTCGCTTTCGATCATCTCCGAAGGTGACATCACAGCTAAGTAGGAAACGTTTATCAATGCGTAGCATAGCGTGACAAGGGGTATGCCAATCATGATAGAACGTGGTAGATTTTTGGAAGGATTTTTGATTTCTTCAGTAACGTAATTGAGATTGTTCCATCCATCGTATGCCCATAAACCAGTGTAAAAAGCTGTGGCTAATCTGCCTACGTTGATAGTACCACCGCCGTCCATGGTATCGAAAGCGCCTTTCAAGTGCTGCGTATTACCCTGTATCAATTTATAAGAGCCACCAGCAATTACAACAAGTATAGCGATCAGTTTTGCTGCGGTAAATGCGTTTTGTACACCTGTGGCTAGATTAACGCTGTAACAGTTTACTAATAGTATAAGTATAATCGCCAGAAGTGCAACGATTTTGACGACTTCCTCGGGTGGATCACAGTCAGCCGCGAATGCCTCGACCGCGTACTGTGCGAACGACAAAGAGATTATTGCCATCTGGGATGGTTTTAAAACCAAAGTGGAAACCCATGAGAAGAGAAAAGCAGGTGGTGCGCCGAATGCGTCCATAAAGTAAGCATACTCGGCGCCGCTGCTCGTATTCATCGTACCCAGTTCAGCGTATGCTAACGCTCCGCACAAACTCAACATGCCACAGGCCGTCCATACGAGGAAGCTGATTCCGATACTGCCGGTTCGAACCAGAAGCCCTGATGGCGAAACGAATATCCCAGAACCTATCGTTTCGTAATTTAACGAAGAGGAAGAACAAGAACAAGAAGAAATTGAGATTGTACTATTTTTAATTGATCGTGTAAGATTTTACTGATCGTATAGATTGCTCTACCTATCATAGTACCAACGATTAGAGCCACCCCACTGACGAGTCCCACCCGTCTCTTGAGGTGAACAGAGTTGTTCTCCTCTGGGTCCGTCCCCTCCAGCCCTCCACCCCCTCCACTATCGTCTTCATCATCTCCCAGATCCCCAGATTTAACTTCTTTTTGTTTTCGTACGTGTAGCTGTTGTTCTTGTTGATGTTGGAACGGCGACATAATTGGGTTCCAACCATTGCTGTTACCGTTGTTTCTAATCGATCGAGAGACCAATGTCGTTTCAGGAATTCCATTCCATCCACCGCTTTGTAACTGCTGTTGCGATTGGTTTCCGTTACTTGTCTGTGGATCATGTCCCACGGTAGCTGAAATCATTCATATTGTTTCATTTACCAAAAAAATTATCATCATTTTCACATCAAACGAATTGATTTTTAAACCATCATTCAACGTTATTATGTGATATTATTACAATACGGTTGATCGAACAGAAGGTTCACAGAAATGGACCGTACGGTTACCTTCATACATAATTCATCGGGCTTTGTTATCGACAATTTCAACCAACTTCTCTGCTACTTGCAAATGGTACGACGAGTTTTCGCGAAGAAATGTGACTTTATAGCCGTTAACTGATATTTATTAATGAGAAGATCGTTTAAACGTTAACGTTCGTTTTCTTACGTATTCTCTACACTTTGTGATTGCAAAAAAAAAAAAAAAAAAAAAA